GGGGGAGCACGGTGAGCAGGGGGGAGCACGGTGAGCAGGGGGAGCACGGTGAGCAGGGGGAGCACGGTGAGCAGGGGGAGCACCCCTGGGGGAAGATCGTGTCTCACTCACTTCCCAAAGAGGATGTTGTAATAGCGAAGCCAGTCTGGGTGATTGGGGTGGAGCTCACTGGAAAGCCGGATCCTGATTCTCACTTTTTCATCACCTTTAGTCTGGCTGACAAGTTCCATTTCCTAAGATTTCAAACAGAACAAGGAGTGGGGGATGCTGGGGAGACAGCTCAGTCAGTAAATTACTTGCTGAGCAAGCATGAGGACCCAAATTCAGTCCCCATTTCTGTCCTCATATGTATACACACCTGTACACATATAAGAACACACCCATACACTTTAAAGCAAACAAAAAGTAGAGGTATTCAAGAAAACTAGGTCCCAGTGAATGACAGTAAACATGCCACTCGATTCCCCACACCAAGGTGGCAGTTTCTTCTCACATTCAGAAAACACAATCTACAGATGTAAGCACCACAATATTATATTTAAACTATCTTTTTACTTAAGCTCCTGAAAGTTATTGGTTTGAGCAAGCAATATAAATTTTCAACTGGAAGAAAAATGAAAAATGTATATATATATATAAAATATTGCTCTGTCCAGACTTATATTGAATGAAGTTCATAATGAAACAAAGTTTTATGTGTGTATGTGTGTGTGTGCATTTCTATGTTTTTAAGAGTGTGTGTGAGTGTGTGTGTGTGTGTGTGTGTGTGTATGTTGAAGGCCAATGATTCTGTGTCTTCCTCAATCAATATCCACCTGGAGTTTGAAGCAAGGTCTTACTGGACTTGGGAGGTCACCAATTTAAGCAGACTGGACGTTACGGCCAGCCCCAGGGATCCTCTGTCTCTGCCTCCCCTGCTCTGGGGTCACAGGCATATACTGGGCCCACTCATCTTTTTATGCAAGTGCCAGGGTCCGAACCCAGGTCTCCACACCTGCACACCAGCACTTTGCTGGCTAAGTCACCTCCCTGGCACCTCTATCACCAGTTTTGGCCTGCATTGTGCTTAAATCTCATTTAACTTCTACTTAGGCACTAAAATGAGGAACTTCAAGACCCATGACATTCAAACTTGAGTGTCAGGCTGTGTGTGTGTGTGTGTGTGTGTGTGTGTGTGTGTGTGTGTGTGTGTGTGTGGAGAGAGAGAGAGAGAGAGAGAGAGAGAGAGAGAGAGAGAGAGAGAGCGCAGCCCCACAATTGAGGTCCTGGTTACTAATGTTCAGAAGATTCTTAGAAAAACATTACTTAACCAAATGCTGTAGCCTCTGAGGTAAGAGCAATGAGTTTCCATCGAATATGTGGAATTTGCCGAGTATAGACTCATGACGGAGCAGTAAACTTGTGCGGATATTAAAATCCTCTATGTCAGGTTGGTAATCAATATTGTACTTATATGCGATTTCACAGCCACAGGTCACTTGGTAATGGTTTGTCTGTAGATTAATAACTTTGCCTTCGGTCCCTAGAAAGCAAGGCACATTACTTTAGACCAGCAGTTCTCAATTTGGGGGTCAAATAATCCTTTCACAGAGGTTGCCTAAGACTATTGGAAAACACAGATATTAACATTAACATATTCATAACACAAATATTAACATATTAATAACAGTAGCAAAATTAGTTATAAAGTAGAATGAAATAATTTTATGGTTAGGGTCACCACAACATGAGGAATTTATTAATGAGGGTCGCAGCATTAAGAAAGCTGAGAACCACCGCTTTAGACACTGTAAGTGGGAAGAAAAAAATGCACAACCCGTCCAGACCCCTACACCAGACCATCACATCTGAAAGTGACGCTGTCACACAATCCGTGGGGAACCTGTTACGTGTTCATGGTGACTGCTCGAAGCTGTAGGGAATCTTTTAAATACATATTATCATTTCTTCTGCATACGTGGTGTGTGCTCGTCTGGGCATATAAGTACAGTCACATAAATGCCATAGGAAGGGCAGAGGACAGCTGTGAGCATTGGGCCTGACACCTGTTTGAAGCAGTCTCTGTTGCGCTCTGCTGTGCATGCCCTGCTAGCTGGTCTGGGAGCTTTAGGCCTTCTCCTGTCGTTGCTTTCCAGATCTTGCTATAGGAGGACTGGGAGACTGGGATCTCTCTCTCTCTCTCTCTCTCTCTCTCTCTCTCTCTCTCTCTCACACACACACACACACACACACACGCACGCACACACACCTGCATACTACTTCATGTGGGCTGCAGGGATTTGAACTCATACCTGCACAGAAAGCTTGTTTCCCATCCTGAGCCTCCTCTCCAGATGTTTGTAACACTACTTAGCTTTACATTTCAACTTAAAATAAAAATAGTTTTATAGGATTCCTTTCAAGGTCAGCGTACCTCTCTTTGAGTCTTTAACATGCTTCATCTCCTTCCTGGTGTTCACCACAAGGTCTTGGTAGATTCCACAAGGCCTCTGAGTCTGCTCCTTTGTTATGGCTGTGGGGTGGTGTTCTACACAGGAACAAATACACACAACAAACAGGGGGAATAGGGGTTTGAAGAGAGCCTGGTGCCTGGAGCACACTCTGCTCACCGCTCCTACAAGAGACCAGGTTTGGTTCTTAGCACTTCTGTTGGACAGCTAGCAACCGCCTACAACTCCAGCTTCAGGAAGCCGATGCACTCTTCTGGCCTCCTTGGGCACCTGCCCACACATGCACATACCCCCATACAGGCACATTCTTAAAAATAAAAAAGTTAAATCTTTTAAAAATACAACAAATTATGTTAACCCTCAGCTAGTAATAAGACAGTCAAGGCTGGCAAAGATGGAAGAAGCTTGCCAAAATCTGCCGACAACTCCTCAGCTTGCACAGTGGCGCCCTGGAAAGTTGGTTCCTGTTCCCAAATTCATCAGTTATTCACTCTGGGATGTGTAAGCCAGCAACCTAGGTAGTACATTGCCCTCTTATGGGCACCAGAATGCACCAACCAAAGGTTTAAATTCAGGCTTTCCAAACAAAAGGACAGAATACTCTTTTCACCAAGAGCAATGAGGATGGGAATTTCCCTCGTTTTTATTACACTGAGATGCATGTAGCACACACATAGTATATAGATGGATGTAGTTTTAAATGTTTATTCGGCAGCAGCTAGGCCTGAACTGAAAGAGATTCACTTTGTGAACTCTGCGTCCTCGCTGGTCCAGGGTGCCTGTGACCGAAGTGTTACAGCTCATCGCTAAAGTAACCATTCCTGAGGGCGGATCTTCTCCAGGCCCAGAGTTGGCACCTGTACCATAGAAAACATTCCCTATATGAAATCTGGAGCAACTGTGTCAATGAGGCAAGTTCCTGGATACCCTGTGCGCAGACCCAGACGGGAAACAACACCGTGGGCACTCTTCGATAGGACCATAGCACTAGGGAAATGCCATGAGGTGGGCCTTATAAACTCAAATTTACATCTGCATCTCATGGGTTCCGGGTTTCTTGTCAGTGAAGAGCGTATTTGCTAATACCTTTCACTTTTTGTTTGTTTTTTTTTTTAAGACAAGTTCCCTCCGTGTAGCTCCTGATACTCTCAGTTTTTGATCCTTCTGTCTCAAGCTCCCAAGGGCTGACATTATAGGCATGAGCCATGGGGCAATGGCTCATTTATATTTATTTTTGAATATTTAAAATGTTGGCCAGACATGGTGACAGACCTTCAAAACATTCATGGTGGCACACAAACACCCATATCCATATGCAGGTGCACACATAACAGTGGAGATGGCTCAGTTGGCAAAGGGTCCTTATGTTTGTGTGGCAGACACGAGTTCAGATCTGCAGCACCTCTGTAAAAAGCTGTGTCTACAGAGACACAGGCCTCTATATTCCCGGCACTGCGGAGATGGACCCAGGAGGACCCCAGGCGCTTTCTGGCTAGCCAGTCTGGCAGAGAGGGAAAGCTCTGGGGTTAGTGAAAGACCTTGCCTGGAAAAAAACAAAACGAAACTGGAAAGCAGCCACCATCCACCTCTGGCCTCCATGTGCCACACACACAGAAAGGACAAAGAAAAGTACATTAACTATGAATAAAAGGTGGTGTGCTTCTCAAGATGTTTGACCATGGCAGTTAAAGTGGGAACCCGTCTGGAGGCCGACTGCGTGAACCACACCCTTGGCAAGGGAGAGCAGCCAAGGTCTCCGGCACCCTCCGCTGGCACCCCTGTCCCAAGAATGCGCCCAGGAAGAACACGGAGATGGTTGGCTGTTCAAGCTTTCCCAGGCAGCAGCTTAGAAGATTCTCTGTCTGCCGAGGGTGTTTTTACAGGCTAACTTTATTGAAATTGCAAGATGGCAACACTAACCAGCCTGTCAGATAACAACAGCCATTTCTATTTTGTCAGCTTTTAAACTGAAGGCAATAACTCACCACAGGAAGCCAGGTGGCCATGCCACGTCCCGCCAGTCACTGCGGACCTATTGAGGACAGCTGTCCAGAAATATGCCTTTGTGGCTACCTCCGTCCACAAGACGCCTCTGTCTCCTGCACCACCCCCCACCACTCTCTCTCTCTCTCACCTGGAAGTGGAATCCTGCCTTCTGCTCCTCTAGATTCCTCTGATGCAACCGCCTGGCCTTCCCTCTGTGACCAAGGTGATGGTGTGGGGGACTGCGGTAGCCGAGCTCCAGGGAGGGGTGGCTGGACATGGAGCTGTGGTGGCTGTGTTCTGGCCTGTGGTGGGTCACTCTTCGGTTTCACTATTTGGGCCCAAGTCCGAGTTGGATGGGCCTGGGGCTCTGGTGGCAAGGCTCCAGGCAGGGATGACTGGACAGGGAGCTGCTGTAGGTTCTGGGCTGTGGGCTGTAAGGGCCCGACACAAGACTGTGGTGGCCCGGCTCTGGGTAGCCCTGGCTGGGCTCCTGGCTGTG